CAGATGGTTCCACCTCGTTGCTATCAAATAAAGTAACCATGTGCGACCTCAGCAGCTGCAGGTCGTGGTTCAGGAGAGCCTGGACAGTGGTGGCCTCAGCCTCAGCAAGATTGACAACAACAATACACTGAGGTCTCGGAGGGAGCTTCCTCTGCTGCATAGGTTCCTGCACATCGCGGGCGCACCTCTCAATTGTCCGTGACATGTTACAGGCATCTTGCCTGAATGGACGAGGGAGCTGAGTCTGTCCATTGGGGCGATGCAGCAGACAATATCCCTGCTCATTTTGTCGGCTGCGGTGCGGCTGCAGGAGGTGCTTTCGGAAGTGGAGTGGAAATGAGAGCTGCATAAGAAGGGCAAATTCCGCCACGGTAGCCGGCGTTATAGGGGTTAGAGATATTTTTGGAATTGAAGATTGATCTTCTTTTGAAATGCTGATCAACCACCTGCAACACACAATCTTCAGTCATGGAAAGAGGCATTTCTCTAGTCATTCGTATTTGTCTGCGTCGATCTGGATGCATTTCAGGTGCATTCACCCATCATACTCATCACAACGGAGCATTTTGGCCCTAAGTCCTATATTCCTTGAGCAGGATACATGAATGCTCTTGGAAGCCTCGCATTTGTAAGACATTTATGATGGAATAGATCCAGTTGAATCCACAAAACCACAAAAGAATAATCCAATTAAGCACACAGTGGAAAAAAACCGATGTATCACAGTCAAGGTCAATCAAGCGCAGTTTCTACTTCTGTTGTTATTGCATGCTTTCTTGAGTGGCAAATGATCAAGGCTACCTAATTAGTTAAACTAAATCTTCCAGTTCCTTAACTGTTCTATACTTCTAGCATTAGGTTGAGCGATAACATGTATGCTTTCTCTCCCAATCATCAGCTAGGAGTCCACCTAGACTGCTTCCCGTTTCCGGCTTTCTTTCCAGTGATCTGCTGCTGTCAGGATAACGGCTATTTCTGTCGCATCGGATGGATATGCAGCGATGAACAAAGCCGAAGTATAACCGAAGAACTTAAGGCACGATCCTATTGACCATCCTTTTGACTGGACCGTTTCGTTAAACAAACTCAATGTGAGTATGCAGGCCCGCACACAGCGACCCCATGTCTCATGGTTCTGGTCTATAATAGAAGATCTGGCAAGGTCCAAAATTATATTTTCCCCTCTTGACCCGATCACACTCGTTAAAACAGTGATATCACTCAGAAGTTAGTCATAGTTGAATGACCTTTTATAGGCTTATTTTTACAGACAGAAATCTCCAAACATACATATACACAAAAAGCCCTTCAAAATTTCTATTCGTTCAGGCTTTGTCTCTGTCCACCCCCACCCAATCAACTTTGACATTATTCACCGTGCCCGATACTCGCCGTTTTCATTTATCGTCCTGACTAGAACCCAAGCCTGAATAATAGAATTCATTGACATCTATACACATTTTCAATTATTCAAATTCCTCCACTGTGACTTTTCTGCTCCATACCTAATTCTCTACATAATTACAAACTGTCAGAAATGTGCAACTTTACCCACCTTTTCTTTTATCAACTGACGAATGAAAGAAATGCCCATTAACCGTTTTGTGGTCCGTTTTGTTTGTCGCACCCAAATATGATTGCTTTCCGTTGTTTTTAACTCCTGTAACTCTGTCGACCCAGGTGCTCTGTCATTTATTATACAAAATGATTATGCACCCCTGCATGCCTTACGATCTTCGTCCTAAAATATACCGTTGCTATGGTTATTGTTATCCGTGGGTATCCTGTTTCAGGCGTTAATCACTCTTCACGAGAAAAATTATGTTCTAATGGTCGTACTCGCTTTAAGTTTGTCAAGCTCCTATGCGTGCCCTCTCAGTACTGGGTTTTTAAGTTGTCGTGAATCTCTTTCAATTTTAAGGTCTGCATTAGATCCCCTCTCATCCTCCTTCTGTTGAGGGAGAACAGCTTTAGCCTCCGGGTCCTCTCGAAGCAGCCTGTTTTCAGTCTGATGGTGGCGTGGCTGTGGCGACCGACCGGTTGAAAAGCTGGTCTAATGGTTTAGCAACTATTCATGCGGTGGATTTCAATATTGCTGGATGTGTACCATCTGGACCGGCAGCCTTCCCAATGCTTAGTGTGCCACAGATTTCTTCTACCTCCAGTCTCGTGACTGGCGGATTTACCATCTGTGGTACTTGGGCCGATGCTAAAGTGGAAACATCCCTAATAAAGGCTGTCCGGAGATCTTTAGCCTCTTCATCTCTACTTATAGCAAGTCCACCATCCGCAATAAATAACTATCCACACTCGTTCTCGTATCGGCCTTCGACTGGACGTAGTTGTACTATGCTTTGGGGTATTGCTTGGCTCTATTTTCCAGACCCATCTCATACTTACGGTTACAGTCTCTCACAACCCTCAAAGCAACCTCATGGGCCCTTAGGTATTGAAGGAACCTTGCGA